CCAAGCTCCTTTCTGTTAACGTAATGCACTCTCTTCTGATTCATATAGAACTAAAACTCAGAGTTCTATAAGGAAATGGAATACACTCGTGACTCATCACAATAAGTGAATCTGGAGGACATTTACTAAGAATATGGGAACAAAGTTACAGTGAACTTGTTGAAAATAGGCCCAAGATTAGTATGTTTTAAAATGGTATCAGATACATTCCCACAAGATTAGGCTCAAAATTAGTACGTTTAAAAAAAAAAAACATATCTACAAGATTATATCAAACAAAAGAAGTTATCTTTTGGTGGCAGTCATACCATAAAACTGCTAATTTGAGGTGATACACCAGATGGCAATTCATTATTATTGGTATAGAACGCTTCCAAATAGATGGTACTATCCCTATGCAAAGTAATGATCTTAACACTGGGAAATACTTGACCCTTCTGGAAAATCATTCTACTTGAGGATGTGCAAACTGGGCCTTTATCCAATGAGAATCCAATAGAGAAAGGAAACGTATCTTGAACCTGCAAATGACAGCAATATTCGCTGGGTAAGGATAGTTAGTGTTGCAACTTGCGACAAAACAAAAAAAGAATGCACCAATTTTCATCCGTTGCTGCGACCTTAAATGCATTGCAATTCTTGGGAATATTTCAAAACTTATCTTTATAAAAGAAAAACAAAAAATCCAACTTAAATTCGGAAGCTTCATCTTCTCTGGATAACAAATTATGCAAAATGGAGAAAGTAACTGTCAGTTATCAAGAAAGCCTTCTGAAGGAAAATTAATTGAAGCAAAACTTTTGATAAGGTTACAAGAAGTTAATAGGATCACTTTTTTGGAAGCCACCATATGCATTGGGGAACTCTTTAGTAAACCAGAATTACTAAAACAAATAATATATAAGAAATTCTTTTAGAAAATCTGATGTGATTGAGACACTGAGAGGTAAACTAAAATGTCAAGTGGGTGTTTGATTAAAGAAAATCACAAACCTCATAATCTCTGACACGGAATACTGGACTGAGCATTGCGCACTGGAGAGCACAACCACGTGCCACACACTCACTTGCATTTATTGTCCGGCTTGGTTCTTTTTTGAAAATAGAAGTTAACATTCTAGTGATAGCTGGTACTCGTGACCCTGAGCCAACAAGCTCAACAGAGTGGATCTTCTCCACAGTCAGACCAGAATTAACCAGAGCCTTCTGACAAGGAACACTAATCCTCTCCAATAGAGTTGATGACAGTCTCTCAAACTCCTCCCTCTTGATAAAACTCTTAACATCCTTCTCATCCATCAAGCATTCTATATTGAGTGGTGCTTCTGCATTTGCACTGAGAACCTTCTTCAGTTTCTCACATGATGCCCTCAACCTGATAGAGGCTTTTGTATTTGTATAGACATCAATATTGTAGTGCTCCTTAAACTGAGTTGCAAAATAGTTAAATAAAACCTCATCGAAATCTCTCCCACCCAAGCTCCTATCAGAAGCATGAGAAACTATCTTCATCGTTCCACTTTCAAATGATGCAATGCAGACTTGTGTGTCGCAATGCCCAATATCCACAAACAAAACATAAGTGGGACCTACATTGGGAAAATCAGTCTTATAAATACCATATCCGAGTGCTGTTGCAGTACAGTCATGCATCAGTCTCAATGGCCTGAGCCCTGCAATTGCTGCTGCATTCAAGTATGCACGTCTCTGCAAATCTGTAAAGTAAGATGGAATCCCGATCACACAATCTGAGACAGAGGTTTTGAGATTTTTCTCGGTTATCTGCTTCAAATGTGAAAACAACATCGCCAAAATCTGCACCGAACTGAATCTATGTGTTTCCCCCATGTACTGAAAATGAATTTGGATTCCACCATCAGGACCTTCACAAGTTTCAAATGGAAACAATTTTAGCTCATGCTGAACATCTGGCTCCTTAAACTTCCAACCAATCAACCTTTTGACCTGTGAAATTGTGGACTTTGTATGCATAGTGGCAGAAGCAGCTCCAGCAGCACCCATGAATCTTTGCTTCTCGCCAAATGAGACTACAGCCGGCGTTTCTCGGTTGGATTCATCGTTCAACAACACATCAATGCCACGTTGCTTTGCAACAGCAATAACACAGTTCTCATTTCCAAAATCAAATCCCACCACACTCATTTTCACCAACTCAAAATGCAAAGTTCAAGAAACTTAACAGCCAACCTGTATTTTACAGGTTACCAAGCATCCACCCGACCCTGCATTTTTGC